TTGACAGTTGATGAATGTGAGGAAAGACATTGAGATCACTGAGGAATGACCAACTTAAAATGCCTGCTGCATCTGCATACTTTACATACATTATAATAGGGCTGTGCAATTAATCGCATGCGATTGTCATGCACATCTCGTCAGTAAAGCCGGTTCCGTGATTGGTAATAAATCTCCAGCACCTGCTTTCAGATGTAGCGGCATTTACTACACAGAGCCATAGTTCACTGACAAGCTAGGCAATATCGCGTTCATAATCGCAGATGAATTGCATTTGATTATGAACGCGATATTGCCTAATTGTCAGTGAACTACGGCTCTGTGTAGTAAATGACGCTCCATCTGAAAGCAGGTCCTGGAGATTTACTACTAATCACGGAACCGGCTTTACTGACAAGAAGCGCATGACAATCGCATGCGATTAATTGCACAGCCATACATTATAACAACCTGGTCCACATAGACGGTGAGCTCTGAAACATTAATGCACGCACACATACACAAGCAAAATGGCCTTAAAGATTAATGTGCTTTCATTGTGGGATCTTGCACTGTTTAGACTCTGTCCCTGTAAAACTCCACAGGTCGTGCCAACAAATCACAGGTGCTCTCTCACTTATCTCAGTGACCTGAGACGAACCTTTTAACCTCTCTTATACTGTATTAAAACCTTAATACACTGGTTTTCACACTGCCACCCTCTCAAATACTGAGAGTTGATATCGTGATTTATGAATAATACTGCAAAACCACAGATGAGAAGAACATTTTGTAATGACAGCAGTGATTCAGAACTTATTTGTAAAAACTGGTTGCAGGTCTTTTTCTGGGAAGAAACAACGCTAAATGCTAATATACTGTATGTATATCTGTATATGTGCGCATACTTAGGATAGCAAAATGAATGGGCTTAACAATTTTTGAAGAGCACACTAGTAATATCTTTTGTTGTTGACATGAAGTAGTTTGAAAAGTAAAAATTGAAGGCTACTTTATACATTTAAATGTAGTTTGTGCTGACCACAATGTTTTTGGGTGGTATTTTATTGGCTTAATAAATATACAGTGCCCTCCACTAATATTGGCACCCTTGGTAAATATGAGCAAAGGGGGATGTGAAAATAAATCTGCATTGTTTATCCTTTTGATCTTTCATTAAAAAAAATCACAAAATTCTAACCTATCATTGAAGTAAAACAATGGAAAGTGGGGGGAAATCTTATTATGAAATAATTGTTTTTCTCTAGTTCATGTTAGTCACAATTATTGGCACCCAATTATTGCAACATGCTTTTCCCAAGATAACAGCTCTGAGTTTTCTCCTATAATTCCTGATGAGTCTGGAGAACACCTGACAAGAGATCAGAGACCATTCCTTAATGTAGAATCTCTCCAGATCCTTCAGATTCCCAGCTCCATTTTGGTGCTTCTTTTCTTCAGTTCACCCTACTCATTTTCTATAGGGTCCAGATCAGGGAACTGGGACGGCCATAGTAGAAGTTTCATTTTGTGCTCAGTTACACATTTTTGTGTTGATTTTGATGTTTGTTTTGGATCCTGATTGAAGATCCAACCACGGCTCATTATAAGATTTCTAACAGAGGCAGTCAGGTAGGCCCACAACATTAAAGATCCAGCAGTATATTTAACCGTGGACATGGGGTACTTTTTATCCCTGCCTGCACCAAACCAATCTGGTGGGTTTACTGCCAAAAAGCTCTTTTTTTTGTTTTATCTGGACATAGAAGCCAGTCCCGTTCGAAGTTCCAATCATGAGTGGTTCCTCTTGATTTTTCTTGAAACCCTCCCGAACAACATGTGGTGATGTAGGGGCTGTTTGATATTGTTTTTAGGCTTTCTAACCCCAAGACTCAACTAATCTCTGCCATTCTCCAGCTGTGATCCTTGGTGAGTCTTTGGCCACTCAAACTCTCCTCCTCACCATGCATTATAGGACAATATAGACACACGTCCTCTTCCAGGCAGAATTGTAACATCTTTGGTTAATTGGAACTTCTTAATTATTGCCCTGGTGGAGGAACATCCACTTACATCCACTTTTTTTTTTTGTGAAGCTCAACAAACTTTTGCTGCACATCAGAACTATATTCCTTGGTTTTACTCCTTGTGATGGATGATTAAGGGAATTTGGCCTTTGTGTTCCTCACATTTATAATCCTGTGGAACAGGAAGTCATGGTTGGACAATAGTCAGCCTGGTCTGGTGTGCTAAAAATATACTTAATATTTTACTCTTAAGAATTTATAGGGGTGCCAATAATTGTGGCCAACATGCATTGGAGAAAGACAATTATTTCATAATGTGAGTTTCCCCCCACTTTCAATTGTTTTACTTCAATTAAAGGTTAGAATTTTATGATTTTTTTGAATGAAAGATCAAAAAGATAAACAATACAGATTTATTTTCATAGCCACCTTTGCTCATATTTACCAAGGGTGCCAATATTAGTGGAGGGCATTTTGTAATTTATTGAATTAAAATACTTTTTTACACTTGAAAAGTGAAAAGTGCAGTGAATTAAAAACAGAAGCAAATGCCATTGCACCAATTTTTTGGTCTTTAATGTTTTATTTTAAGGACATTTTTGTTTCATTTTATTACGATAAGCATATATGATTTTGTGTTTGTTCGCCACGTAATCATACAATGAGAATGTGTGAGTCCTTGTCAAATCACACAAAGATGGAGCCAATAAATTTAATATATATTTAATAAAAGGCACTCAGAATATCATAAATAAAATATAGTGCTTAAACAATCAAGATATATCATACAGCCATTGCATACATTCATGAGATGCTAAATGCCATAATGACCACATAACACTGGCATTATCACCTTCGTCGGTGGGATAATTGTAAAAAAATTAAAATAGACTCTCAGGATTTATTGAACAATGACTTTCAATATTACTATTGATATTTCACCATACTATGACATAAAATGCATGCACAAGGAAATATACTTAAAGTTTTTCCATTGACACAATGGAGGGTTGATTTAAATATTATATTTCTACCTCTAGTCAAAGCATCGTCATTTTTATCATATTCTTTTATCTCAGTGTTTTCATGCATCTTTTAAAATGTACAACAGCATGATAAAAAGCAAAATAATGATCTTTAAAATAGCATCATATGACCCCTTTAAGTTCTATATTGCAATTATACATTAGTGTCTGAAAAATGCAATGTTACCTGCTGGCATAAGTTCATTTTCAAGCTTATTGGAAAACGTATTTCAGCTTCAATGAAAAGTGCTGTATTGGTTTGCTTTAGTCAGTGCTGAAATGCTACAATCAAAATTTGCTTTGGAAACATTTGTTCTCTATATTTTTTCAACTTTGCTTTTTACAAAAACATGCAAATGTGCAATTTTTTAATTTGAATAAAACAGGAAATATTCTCTCATAAAAGGGAATTCCTTCAATAAAGAAACATCAAGTTATGGAGAGACAGATTTCTGTAAGCATAGTGAAATCACTGAAAAATTAAAAATCATGTGATTAGCATAACACGTCTTACTCTTATTCCAAAGACAGAAATTGTACTCCTCTGAAAGACAACGTCTCATAAGTGAAACAAAACATGTCATCTATTACAATCATGGGCAAAGACAGACATGTGTGCTCATTTGCATTATTGCATGACAAAAACATTGTGTAATTGCTTTCATATACTTATGAATGTTACTAATATGCTTGTAAGATAATGATTCTTCCTGTTCTGTTTATAAGATAAATCCACAAGAAACGTCTTGATGTTGCAAACATTTACAAGTAAGTCATTAGGCTGGATTAGATGATATATTTGCTGCAATCAAATTAAAACTTTTTTTTATGTGTGCTCTGTTTGACCGACAAGTATATATTTTGAATGGCTAACTCATATAAATGTATGCTTAAATTCTTGTGCATTTTCCAGCCATACATATCCGTGTGCATAATGAGTAAGGCTGATAGTAGGCCAGTGAAGCCTTTAGATAAAAAAGTAAGTGCTGTGTATCCTACTAGCTATGATCAATACTTTCATATATATTCGGTCAAACAAGTGACAAGATATGATGTGAAACTAATATTTGACTGAAATTGCCAAGCAAAGGTGTGTACCAAAACTTGAACTTACTCAGCATAGAAAGAAATCTAGATAGAGTTCTAGCATCTCATTCTGTGTGTATGTTGACAAGAATAGAAACACCAGAGGAAATTTGGGACGAGCAGCAAGCAGATGCTGCCACAGCACGGTGGGTCATCCAAATATAACATACTTGCATGCGTAGGATACTGTTTTTAAATTCCAAACAGTCCTGATGATGTATGACAACTACCAGGGCTGTTAGAGGAGACATTCGGTGACATTGAAAGATGGATAACAGTTTGGCATAAGCTTTTTCTCTCACGAGCAGCAGCGACAAAAGGTGATGTCAGTGCAAAACTCTAAAGGAACGACAACATCAGCAAAAGGTGGTGCTGGGTGGATGCTCAGAGTGCAGATTCATGATTCCTCTGAATTAATTTGAGGGACTCGGCAACACAGGCACTTAATCGTGATTAATTAAATGCTTGTTTTGACCTCAGTCAAACGCAGCCGTTTGCCTCACAAATGATGACATGAGTACTTTTTTTCTTCTGTGTTTCATATTCCTTTTTTCAGTTCAGTGCATTTCAGTTTGTATTATTGTAAAGCCTTAAAGGGATGTTCCTTACAATATTTGTAATATGCTTCCTTTTAGTAAATAGTGCTTCTGAGGTTTTATAGTCATCCATCAAAAGTGTTTTTAGCAGCCTTTGGCTAAAACAGCGTCCTGTTTAAGGTCTCCCTTTGAAACAGCACATTCCGCAAAGGTACTGTTGGTATATGCATAGCATTAGGTACATATGTAGAACTCTAAATTAAGCAGTTGTCAAAACATAAAACTGAGAGTTTCTTAGTGCATTGTTGTATAGTCATTATTGCTAGTCATGAGAAATATACCTATCCTTATGGAATGCCGTTTTTCCCTGTCTGCCAATTCCCATTGTTCTTGTCCAGCGAGTAATTGCTTTCATATTTCTCTTCAGAACTGCTTTTCTGATTTGCAGCAGCCTCAGCAGCAGCATCAATCATCTGTTTCTCCGCCTGCTCTGTTTCACGATGGTAGAAGTAGTTGAAGTTGGAGACGATGACAGGAACGGGAAGTGCAATGGTCAGTACGCCAGCGATGGCACAGAGGATCCCAACCATCTTTCCTCCCAACGTGGTAGGGCACATGTCACCATAGCCAACCGTCGTCATTGTGACCACAGCCCACCAGAATCCTTCCGGGATGCTCACGAACTGAGTATCAGGTTCGTCAACCTCAGCAAAGTAAATGGCACTGGAGAAGAGGATGACGCCAATGAAGAGGAAGAAAATAAGCAAGCCCAGCTCCCTCATGCTGGCCTTCAGGGTTTGGCCTAGAATCTGGAGGCCCTTAGAATGGCGGGACAGCTTGAAAATCCTGAAGACGCGCACTAATCGGATGACACGTAGCGTAGCCAGAGACATGTTCTGGTTGGCGGTGGGGTCTTCATCGTGGGTGGCCATCAGTTCCGTTATGACGGTTATGAAGTAGGGCATAATGGACACAATGTCAATGACATTCATGATATTGCTGAAAAACTCGCTCTTGCTGGGGCACACTATGAAACGTACTCCAAGCTCAAAACAGAACCAAATGATACAGATGGTCTCCACCACAAAGAAAGGGTCAGCAAAGGCAGAGAGCATGGCCTTAGGATGAGGAGTAGGGGATAGAAGCGTTCCATTGGCGTCACGGGTTAAGTTGACAAAAGCAGGCATAAATTCACGCTCATCACGGAATTCCGGGAGCGTCTCCAGGCAGAAGATACAAATAGATATAGTGATGACAAAAACAGACACTAAGGCCACTGACCTGGCAGCACTGGAGCTCTCTGGGTACTCAAAGAGCAGCCAGAATTGACGGTGAAGCTCATTGGTTGGGAGTTGAGGCTCAGGGTCTTTGATGAAACCTTCATCTTCCTTGAACTGTTCCATGACCTCATGCCCTAGTCGATAGAACACTATCTCATCAGCAAACACATCCAATGGCACGTTTGCTGGCCTCCGAATCTTACCTCTGGACTGATAGAAATACAAGATTCCATCAAAGCTGGGGCGGTTGCGATCAAAGAAATACTCATTCTTCATGGGGTCAAAGTAGTCAATCCTTCTCATGGGGTCTCCAAGCAAGGTATCTGGGAACTGATTCAAAGTTTTAAGTGTTGTCTCGTACATCATCCCTGAGACATTGATAACCACTTTTTGTTCACCCTCCTCGAATTTCTCCTTTTCAGCAAAATATTCCTCGCAACAATCCTTGGCTACTTTTCCTAGAAGTGCCTCATTGGGACTGCCCTCGCTGCTTATCAGAACCTTCCAGTTGGAAATCAGGCTGTTGCAGCTTGATGTTCCTTTCTTGCTGAGTGTTGGTGGAGAGGCAGGTGAGTGCCTCGGCTGTCTTCCTCTCTGAGGTGAATGTGTAATTGAGTTTATGCCATAGGTCCCCTGGTTTGGTTCCGGGGCATCTGAGGTGGGTGAGGTTGGATATCCCAAGTCATTCGGGTCTCCCAGATTGATTCCGATGTCATCCAGGTTCTCAAAGTTGACTAGAGGAACCTCCAT